TTTATATGGCGCATTTATACAGACCAAGGTCACCCAAAGCGCTTCACAACGGTCAGAGTTGGCGCACGTGCACACTTGGGTCAACCACTAATCTCCCTCCATCCTGAACTACACACAATACTTGGAAAACCCTGCAGTTCTTTTTCGGAACGACTTTGCACGTCCCACCGCGGCGCCTCGTGACTCCTCGACTGCTGAAGAAAACGATGAATTTTCTGCATAATTAATCCCGGTGATGGAGCAATAATGAACTTGTAAATTGCCGCCGCACGCAGACTCCGGGAGAAGACAGAATAGACCCAGCTGCAGGATCTTCGGGACCATCTCGGAGCCGATTCTGAAAACAAGTTGAATCCATAGCATGAGATGAAATGTATGGATTGAATACGCACTGATTGACGTGTGTCTCTCTTAAGGTTAATTAATGGGTTTGTGGTTAAAGGCCCGAGACGTTTAGTGATGTGAAATCTATACATAATTGATTATAGTAAATTATTTATCGGGATATGAATATTGCAAAGCCGCTATGAATAAAACATGGCGGTTCAATTGTGGGGAGAGAGGGTCCATTGTGAGCGCTTGGCTGTTGGTAATTGCATATTGATTGAGGCGGAAAGTCAAATGTTTGGATAAAAGTAAGAGGTTTTCGCAGAGACGGGAGCAGACGCTTAGCAGCAAAAGTCAATTTGTGATTTGGGTTCGTCACACAGTTTTCCCAGAATATTCCCAATCAGACTCGCTGTTTAAGAAAAGGTCTCCAAGTCGGGAAATGAAACGCGACGATCCAAGCGGTTTAGTTTTGTCAAGAAAACAGAACAGAGTGGTTTGTAATATTTCCAAATGTTGTGAAGTCAAAAAGATGTGTTTTCGTATTTACACATTAACAAGTCCAAGTTTTGTGTATGGAACTCGAGTCTGGTATATAGATCTACTACTACTACTACTACTACTACTACTGCTTCTTCTACTACTGTATTTTTTTGTATATAATAAGTGTATGTAAAAAAAATCGTATACTTACTAACTTTCTACTAAATTTCACTCTAAAATATAATTAATAATTGAATTTAATTACTTTACTTAATTTACTTACTTTACTGAATTTATTTAATTAAGAAATCGTTTCTACATAACTCGGTCATTAAGATTAAGAGATCCTTTAGTCTTAATATTAATGATGCAATTATGTGATTAATGTGACTTTAGATACAAATTAAATATTGGCTCTGGACCAAACTATTTCTGTGGATAAAAAAAGTCACAAATACACTGCAAACATGATAATATATGGGGTAATAATTGCTTAAAACACCAGAATGCTTGACCATTGGGAGGACCAATAGAGGTCCATGTGACCTACATAGCAACCGTTACTACGCCGCCATGTTAGATGGCAGGTTTTTAACCTCTACACAGTCAGATTCAACACTGCGACTCAGAGCGCACCTTTACTTAGAATTACGGGAACGTTTTGCTGCGTTTTTTAAATGCGGTAAACGCTCAGAGCGAGACAAAGATCTCTAAACCTATCAAAAAAGAAGAAAATCCTTCTATAGACCTGTTTAAGTGGTTACATCTTAATTTTTAGTACATTCTGACTTTCAATGGGTCAAAGCCATTTAATCTATTTTTATTCAAAGGGAGACATTTCAACAACAAGATAATTTTCTATTTTCCATCGGCAAATCTTGTATCAAAATGTGCTCAAATTGAGATACATTTCCCAAATTTCAGCAATTTTTGACTCATTTCCCCTCACTTTTTGCAGTGTATCTATATAATATGATAAGCCTCCCTCCTGGTGCGTCCTCTTACCGCCTCAGCATTGTGTTTTATTAATCGTAAATCCCGGTGTATTAGTCCAGTTCCATCGGGCGTGCGTCAGAACAGGGCTTCAGTGCAATCATTGTGAAAGTATACTGCTCCGTGCCCTCGCCGACGTTTAAAGCCGCAAATAACCACCAGTACGGTAAGCATGTCTCGGGCGACTGGGGGCGCTTAAAGCTGGGGTATGTAACTTTCCAATGTCATAAATAAGAAGTGAAAGGATTTTCCAGCTACATCAGGATTGGACGCCAGTGGGGGTTAATGGTGACATTTTACGCTTGTTTTTTTATTATACTAAAGTTAGAGATTTTATACTGGTTTCTTTACTATGCTGTAGCTAAAAAGTTTCCTCTGTGTGCTCCGGTTTCCGCTACCCCCCGCATATCACACTCCCAGACCTAACTCGGAGTATCCTGGTCCACCCTTTTTCTGGAACCCGGACCTTGTTTATTCTCAGTGGGAGTGTCCTAGTTACATAAAAATCAATAGATACGTTTCTGTCTAAAAATGCAGATAAAAAATGTGACAAATACCAAAAAATAATTACATTCATGTTAAAACTAGTGAAAGAAAAAAAACTGATTAAGACCCAGGCTGAAGTTTCAATATATACTTTATTATACTTTAGGTACCCGAGCTTTAAAAGGCGCTGCAGTTTCAGTATTACTGTAGGGCAAGTGGATTCATTTTTGCGAGAACACGGAGTTGAATCTGACAAATTGGAAGAAAAAATAAAATAAAATGGTGAAAACAATAACCACTGTCCCTTGTTGTCTGAAAACCAAATTGTTCTTTTTTGCTGTCAGGGAAAATTGTTTCAACTTTGGCGAGACAGATTGTAAATAGCCAGTTTCTTGTTGTCCGAGTGAAGGAATGATCAAATTGTTGGGGGAAAATGAATCAGAACTGGGACTAAATGTTATATTGAAGACACGTCGGTTTCTTCTTTGGTGGAGCAGAACAACTGGAGACAGCACTTAGCCTGAGTGATGGAATATTTATTTTAATTTTCCAAAAGCTGGACTGAAGCTAAAGAAAAATGTGTTTTGGGAAGATGCATGTTTTTGATGGATTATATAACACGCCATGGCAGCACTTGTGAAGCTGCAACACTTCTATTAGGTATTGATTCCAATTCATTTAAAGCTGCACGAACAGACTTTGAGACATTTTCGAATGACAGCGCTGGGCTCGCTCTTTCTACTCGCCCTCCCCCACTACCCCCCTCCCCCTCAGCCTGTGCTCACATGCTAAATGTATACAGAGCTCCCGTCTCACTATATGGATCGCACATTTGAACGTGGATGGCGTGACCACAGAATAATAAAACCGGGAAGCGCAGAAGAACGAGACTTTATTTTGGCTGTTTCGCTGAGTAAGCAGTATGAAGACACGGGTGGTTTCAAGTTAGGCTCCGCCGCTTGTTTACCTCAGCTGTCTGTGCTAACAAGAGACCTGTGGCTTTTCTCAAGAAAGTGGGGGCCAGTGGTCCGCTGTGATTGGTCACGAAAGAAATTCTCTTCCTTGTTGCACCAAAACTCGATCTAAAATAAAATGACGCGCCAGCACAAATCTGCGCTACTTTTTCTTCAAAAGGACGTATATCCCAAGGCACTGCATGGATATGGATTGTATTTTTGTAATGAATACAAAAATAAAGTCAGGTAATGCAGCTTTAAATAGGGGGAGATGGTTTAAAGCAGGGGTGGGTGACTGTTCAAACGTTTTAGTAAGAGGCCCCTTAAGTTCACCAGACGAGTTCAGGGGCCGACGTCACGGACTGAAAAACTGTCTTAACACAATGTTTGATCAAATCTTTTTGGCCTTGAGAACCTGCATTTCATCACATCCTCTATAACTCCGACTGTGCCGTAGCAACAGCCAGATTCCACTCCACACTGTGCACATGGTCAGCCTTCAGGGGGTAAAGCTGAGAGAAAAAAAACAACCTCCAGACAGAGACAGGCCGTTTAGCTTTGGCTTCCACGGGGCCCGCCTGCTCAGCCATGCCCCTGATATTACATTTAGGGCTTGACTTGCCATTTGCGATGCCGTCATGGCCCCGAGTGGAGGAGACAGTGAAAGATAGCAGAATAGTGGCTCTGCTTTTGAACACTGTTGTCCGGGAACCCCACAATTTCTTCTCTTCCCTTCGGCGACTCCGGCTCAAAAGGTTTAATCCAGCCGAACTGAGATCTGCTCAGTGTCCAATGGAACATGTCGTACAAACATTTAGCCTGTGTGTGCGTTTCTGGAAAGAACAGACATGGTTTAGAAACGATGCTATATGTTTTGTAAGCGGGAAAACAAAGTGTGAATTCAAACATGTTGTCTCAAATGTGTCTCTTTGTGCTGAATTCAAACATACAGAAGTGTGGATGAAAGACTGTTTAATGGATTTGAATAGATATGTCATTCTTTGATAATAAAATAGACAAACACATGCAGATCCTAGACAGAAACTAAAACATATCTTGTTAAGAGACAAAAAAGAAGCAAAGACGGATCAGAATAAAGTCAAATTAATTCTATAAAAACCCCAAAAGTCTTGCTTGCTTCTTAAAACCTGTTTAGTTTATGCTCATGTGCCATACACATAATGTTTACATAAAGGATAAGACTACTACCTAATAACATCCATACACACTACAATTTGCGGTCTTGGTTTAAACAGCATAAATTTAAACAACTAGAATAATTAAAGAAAGGTTGCTACCTTCAGTCAGCAGGTTTTCCCGACTTTTTGTTCAAAAGAAAGAGATAATCCCTGTACGACTGTGAGTTTACACAAACTAGTATTGTTTGTATTTCTGACTGTGGGGCCAGACCATGGAATAGTCTGCACATTTTCAAAAAACATTTTAAATTTTTTATGCTCGATTTTGTTTTTTTTTAGCATTAGGATGTTCAAAATGAAACTGAATAGGGAATTAAAGGTGGGCCCAATAAGCTTTGGAACCTGTATCCATAGCAACCCTGTAAATGTCTTATCTGATCAGCAAAGGGTTTTGTTGCCATGGTGACCCTTTGACGTGTCATTTGGAATTCTCTCTGGATTCACATGGTTAGGACAGAGGCCAGACCTGAAGTCAAAGCACAGAACGTACACAAGACGAGACAAGTCGAGATTATCACTACTACGCACTAACTGAGGTAACAGTAAAAAAGAGATCATGGTTCATGAAGAAATCTCTCGCCTTCTTGAGGTTGAAAAAACCCTGGAAGAGCAGCTGAAAGTCAACGCTGAACAGAAGCAGAGACTGAAGGTGCTGCAGCAGACGATCCATGAGCGAGACGCCAAAGTCAATGAGCTCGAGGAGGTCTTGGAGCAGAGAGACGCCCTTATCCACTTCGGCAAAGATCTGCTCCAGAAAAAGGACAAAGAGGCCCAGGATCTGGCTCGGGAGGTCCGCAACGAGGTCAACGCCTACGTCTGGAACCTCCTGAAGGACAAGATGGACCTTCAGAATCACTGCAAGGACTTGGAGGAAAACCAGGCCTATCTGCAAGACCAGCTGGACCAAGCAGACCAGCAACATCTGCAAAATGAGATTCGAAATGTGAAACTCGAGGCTGAAATGTCCAACATGAAAAATGAACTCAAGCAGCAGAAACTGGAACTTACACACAGAGTTCAAGAGAAAAACTCCCTGCAGAAAAAAGTAGATGAACTGAAGGAGTACTTGGAGCAAAGAGACACCCTCATCGACTTTGGGAAAGACCTGCTCAAGAAAAAGGACAAAGTGTTCAAGGATCTGGTCCAAGAGGCTCGCAACAAGGTCAACGAATATGTGGGAGGCCTCTATGAGAATAACATTTATATGAAGATGCAGATTGACGACATCGAGAACGCCACAGTTTGTCTGCAACAACAACTGGACGAAGCAGAGCAGCAACATTTAGAAGATGAGGAAACAATTACGAAACTGGAATCTGAACTTGCAAAGTCCAAGAAGAACCTAGAGCAGCAGCTGGACGAGTTAGAAAACTACCGCATCGAAGAGGCGCTTAAAAACCTGAAGATTGCAGATAAACTTAAAGAGACAAAAACAAAACTGAAAGAGTTTGAAGCCGAGAACGAGGCCCTGAAAACCCGTCTACAACAGGCTGACAGAGACAAAGAGACCAAAGGCGAAAATAAGGAAGAGCAGGACAAGAAGAAGACGAAGAAGAAGCAGAGGAGCTTGTGGAAGTGTTGGGAGTAATCACCTCTGAACATCACTGTAGTGTTAGCATCTTGACCTGTTTAAGCCAACGGGTTGAGGTGCGACACGCTCAGGGGGAGGGGGCAGGGAGGAGCGGAGGTGGTGGTTTAGATCTGTAGATTAGATTTACTCAAGCATTGTCTAAAGTCACAAAACCAAAGTATGTGGAGAGATGAGAGACCTTCTTTCAGGCGTGCAGGGTAAGGCCGTCTGTGCATTTACAAGAAACCTGCGCCAATGAAAGATGAAACCTTTCTGATCTAGCACAATATTTTTGGACGATGGTTTGGATCAATGAATGAATCAATCTAACCATGTTCTAGCCACTACTTCCATCCATCCCTGTCTTCCGCTTTATTCAATGCCATGTGGCAATGGATAAAGCCCAGACTTCGCTCTCCACACTGTTCAGACTCAGCAGCAGAAGATCCAGAACTTCGAGAGACCCATTGCAGACACGGTTCAACACTTGAAGAATATGAACTTGCAAAGACAAAAGCAAAAGTGAAGCGAGAACGAGGCCCTGAAAACTCGTTTACCAGAAGCCGACAGAGACACATAAACCGAAGACCAAATCAAGGATAAGATGCAAAATGAGCAGGACAAGAAGAACAAGAGGAGTTGGTGGCTGTCTTCCACTTCATCCATTGCCGTGTGGCAATGGATAAAGCCCAGACTTCTCCCCCCACACACACTCTTCAGACTTAGCAGCAGAAGATCCAGAACCTAGAGAATACTGCACAAGATCTAGTGCAGCTGGTGACGAGGCAGAGACATCCCACATTGAAAAACTTGAATGTGAACTTACTGTACAGAGACAAAAACAAAGCTGAAAGAGACTGAAGCGAGAACGAGGCCCTGAAAACTCGTCTACAAGAAGCTGACAGGGACGAGGAAACCAAAGACCAAAACAAGGAAGCGATAAAAAATTAGCAGGACGACAAGAAGACGATTCTCTTGACTAATCTTGACTAACTAATAATGCAATAAACAAAAAGTATAAAAAAAATACATTCCAATAGTTGATTTTGGATCAGACATTTCGGTGAGTTGCAGACGCAGTGAGATGAAGGAGACTCAGACCAGGTACCAATTAGTTCACACAAATTACTTTCACAATGGGCGGCAAGAAGGTTCTGGGTTCGAATCCCGGTCTGAACAAGGCGTTTCTGAGTGGAGTTTGCATGTTCTTCCCGTGTCTGCATAGGTTCATCTAGGTACTCCGGTTTCCCCTACCAGTAAAAACATGTGCAATCGTTCAGGGTGAATGAGTGTGTGTTTGTGAATGTGGGACAACGGATGGAAATTAGCCCAAGATTACAATCCGGAGTGATGTGTTCATGAACATGTACTGTCCCAACCAAATAAATAATAAACAATCACAGAAGTCGCAAGTCTTTAACTAGGTGCACTCATCTAAATACACATTCAATGACTTCAAATAAAACTGGTTCAATGACAGAATAAAACTGAATCAGTCTACACACACACGCACACACCCTAAACCAATATCTATTTTAACTGAAACTATAGAGCCGTAGTGTACCTCGGATTGATGTGTGTTAAAGACTTATTTGGTCTCATTTGTTTGCTTTAAGTTACTATTTTTCCAAAAATGCGAGCCAAAAGTACACATCTGAACACATTCTCTGGTGACCTTGCTACTGGTTAATCAACAAACTTGTTTTAAACTTTGTCTTTAGTAACCCCCTGAGCACACCACACCGCAAACCAGACCAAAGAATTGACCTCAAGACTTTCTCGAAACCGAAACATGTGCCTCCACTCAGAGATGTGGAATTCCTTCTGCTTCCACGGAACAGTAATAGCCGTAAAAATTGAACTCCCTTTGTTTAAATAGCTTTTACTAATGCCTGGTTTTATGTGCGCGAGCTGCTTAGAGGAATGGCCCAGGCAGCGTAGTGTGCAAATGCGCTGCTTTAGAAAGATAAATGCTAATTCGAGTTCGCGGAATGGCGGCCCGTGTAGCAAAGGCTGATTATTTGGCCTATGGATCTGCAGCCATCTCACACAGAACTGATTAGAATTTGATGAACGCCTTTAATGATGCAGTTCACCTTTTGAAGGTTTTTTTCTTTTTTTGGGAGGTGGAGGTGGAGGGGGGAGCAGCAACACTGATTGGAGGGTTGCATTTCAAAAAGGCCCAAGATGACGTTCAGCTATTGATTGGCTCGGCACACAGCAACTATTCCTTGCGCTTTGATTTTGGCTGAAAATAATACTAAAAATGGCTTTTACCCTCAGTCTAAAACCACTGAGCGTTAACAAGAAACCGTCAATATATTGCATTATTTTGCTCGGTGATTTATTGGCTGCTGTAAAGCGGGCGTAGCAAAGGACTTAGTTGCTCGGTAAAAACCTGTGAAATAAACTTTTTATGGTTGAAATAAGAAATTGGTTCAAGATTAATCAAGGACTAAATATTATATACAACGGCTTATAGGGAGGTATTGATACGGCTTAGAATTCATATGTTTTGTGAGTTTCAATTTTTGTGGTATGACGTATGGTTTGTGTATGATTTTGCCTTGCTTCTTATAATAATAATAATAATAATACATCAAACTTGTATAGTGCTTTTTTGGACACTCAAAGACACTTCACATTGGGAATAAAATACATTAATAAAAAAGAGGTTCACGGAAAAACTTGTTTGAAAAGATGGATTTTGAGACTGATTCATAGTTTGGTAGTGAGTCAGAGTTTCTAATGGGCAGTGGGAGTGAGTTCCAGAGCGTTGGGGCGGCAAAGGCTCTGTCCCCCAAGGTCCTGCGGTTTGTGATGGGAGTGAGGAGGTTGGAATCGGCTGAGCGAAGGCGGTGGGTGGGTTGGTGTTGTTGTAGGAGCTCAGTAAGGTAGGGTGGGGCCAGGTTATGGAGGGTCTTGTAGGTTTGATAGATAGATAGATAGATAGATAGACCTTTATTGTCCCCTGAGGGAAATTCATTTTCACAGGCACTGTCACATACAGGTTACAATAAACACAAGAGACACCGAAGGGAGGGAAACACATACAACGCAGGAACAGGGCAACATTACAGACTGTTTAGAGCTGCTATCGCTGAAGGGACAAAACTTTTACTAAATCTTGCCCTCTTCCATCTTAGAGTTCTGTATCTGCGTCCTGAGGGCAGCAGAGTGAAGTGGGTGTGGAGGGGATGGTCTGGGTCAGTGCTTACTGTCCGGGCCATGCGTGTTACTGCTGTGAGGTTGAGCTGAGAGAGGTCTGCGGTGGGGAGACTGATGATTTTGGATGCTGTGTGTGTGACTTTAGTGAGTTTGTTTCTGTTGGTGATGGAGAGCATGTTAAAGTAACAGGGGGAGCAGTAGAGGAGAATAGGTTGAATGATTGAAGAGTAGAGTTTCAGAAGCAGATTTGGAGAGACAGAGAGGGCACGGAGCTTACGAAGGATGTAGAGTCTTTGTTGGGAACGTTTATGGATATCTGTGACATGTTGTTCAAAGGTGGGTTTATTGTCGAGTGTGAGTCCAAGGTATTTGAAGTGATTAACCCGTTCTATTGTTTTGTTGTGTATGAGAGTGGGAGGCAGGTCTGGGGTGTGTGAATGAGAGTGGAAGATTAGTTCCTTGGTTTTGTCCGTGTTCAGTTCCAGAGAGTTTTCAAAACACCACTCTGTGAAGTGGGAGATGGACTGATGGTAGGCAGTGATGGAATTATTATCTGTCAAGAGGGCCAGAATGGCAGTGTCATCAGAATATTTGAAGTATGTGGTGGTTGGAGATGGGCTGATGCAGTCGTTTGTATAGAGGGTGTACAGGAATGGACTTAATACACACCCCTGGGGGGCGCCAGTGTTGGTGACGATGGTGGATGATGTCACTGAGTCAACTCTGACGGCCTGTGGTCTATTGCTGAGGAAGTTATGAGTCCAGCGAATGAGGAACGGGGGCAGGTTGAGGAGTTGGAATTTCCTGATTATTTGAGGGCGCTGAATTGTGTTGAATGCTGAGCTGAAGTCAATAAACAGGATGGATGCAGACGTACCAGGTAGTTCCAGATGTTGAAGGAGGGGGTGGAGGAGACATGAAACAGCATCCTCTGTTCCTCGTCTGGCTCTGTAAGCGAACTGGTGGGGGTCCAGCAGGGGTCTGACTGTCGGGAGGATGGAGTGAAGTATGAGTCGTTCTAAGCATTTCATTATGATGGAGGTAAGTGCAATGGGTCTGTAGTGGTTTGGCTCGGATGGTCTGGGCTTCTTGGGAACCGGGATGATTGTGGAAGTTTTCCAAGCTGTGGGAATGTGTGCCAGCCTTAAGGAGTCCCAGAAGATTGAGTGAAGGACTGGTGACAATTCCATGGCACACAACTTCAGCACCTTGGCCGGGATACCGTCAGGGCCTGGTGCCTTGCCCATCTTGAGGTTATATGCAAACAGGCTAGGATTTGGCTCTATGAAGAGAGGAGTGGATTGAACGGGTTTTGAGAAGAAAGTAATATTTATTGTAATTTATTGTCCTCTCAATATCAGCTCTCGAGGCATTTTGCAAATGTTCTACTTTTTAATTGTTGCTATAGAAGGCATGTCCGAACTCAGAATTTTATGTGGCCATCTCCATTGAGGCACTTTGACAGTGTCATCCAACCAACTTCAGCTCCACCAATACAGTCATGCTTTACCTTGTTGTGAACCTCTGGAATCCAGTTGTTGACTCTTTTGTTATTTACTGACATGTGTTTTATGATTGTGTCACAACATTCCAAAATAATGCAGATATGAATCAATAAGATAAGATAGACTTTATTGATCTCACACCAAAGTAGGGCTGGGCAATAAATCAAATTTTGGCAATTAATCGGCTTTTAAAAAAATCGAATTCGTGAAAAATGTGAAAATCGCAAAATCGAATGAGGGATATTGTGAGAGTTCCAGCAGCACATCAATTATACTTGCGATATCAGCACAGTCTTTACATTACTTTTATAATATGTATTGGGGGAAACAAATAAAAAATAGTTT